GAACAACAGGCACTGACTCCTTTTCGTTGTAACTCTGCAGTGTAATCTGTACAAAAAAAGGAAGTAGAAAAAGAAATTCATTTCACATAGGCAGTTTGTCTTTCTTTTCTTTTTGTAGAATTGACTGAAGCACTGAAGGTTCAGATATTTTATGGTGCATCTGCTTTTTTGTTTCGAATTGATTGACATGATTCTTTGAGTTGAGATTTATTGATGCTTTTGTTCGTAGGGCATTTGAAATAGTTACTAGGGTGGGTGTGGGTGGAGAGTATGGGTGTGGGTGTGGAGTGTGGGTGTGGGTGTGGAGTGTGGGTGTGGGTGTGGAGTGTGGGTGTGGATGTGGATGTGGAGTGTGGGTGTGGGTGTGGAGTGTGGGTGTGGGTGTGGAGTGTGGGTGTGGGTGTGGTTGTGGGTAGGGATGTGCGGTGTCTTTTTACTGATCAGCAGTGTCACCGAGCCACCGATGCACTGACACTGACCTCCACTGGCATCAATTTACATTGTAAAGTACAATATTTTGTATATAGATTGTAGTTAACAGAAATCAGGATCGATGTCAGTGTTGCTACACTGAACTCAGTTTCAGCTTCCTCACTGTCAGTATTGCATCGTTCAGTGCAAAGCTGCACATCCCTAGTTGTGGGTGGGTGTGGTTGTGGGTGGGTAAGGGTGTGGATGAGGGTGTGGTTGTGGGAGCAGGTGTGGGTGTGTAGATGTGGGTGTCGCTGTTGCTGTGTAGGTATGGGTATGGCTGTGTAGGTGTGGCTGTGGCTGTGAGTGTGCGTGTGTAGGGGTGGCTGTGGCAAGGGGGAAACAGCAGAGACTTCAGCCGTGAAGTCTCATGAAGTCTTTCGAAGTCTTCTGAGGTCTCTGAAGTCTCATAAGGTTTTATGAAGTCTCATGAAGTCTCATGAAGTCTAATGAAGTCTCATAAAGTCTTATGAAGTATCATGAAGTCTTTTGAAGTCTCATGAAGTCTTTTGAAGTTTCATGAAGTCTCATGAATTCTTCTGGAAGTTTTGAAATACATTTATCCCAGGGCAAACAGTCAGACACTAAGATCGGACAAGATTCTGTGTCTGATCATGTATGATCGTGTATAATTCATACCAAATCGTACAAAAAATCTTAGCCTCTGAAATCTTACATCAATTCTTACTGTAAGACTCTTGACAGATTTTGTTGTCGTGCCAAATCTTACTGTAAGATTTTAGAAAATCTTATGCGACGGTAGGATCTGATAGAAATGTTGCAGTAAGAATTGATATAAGATTTCAGAGACTACGATTTTTTGTACGATTTCATATATTCGTACAAGATCTGCTGTCAGATTTTTCGACCTGGGTAGTGCATGAAAATTCATAAGAAACCAATGAAATTGTCTTGTTTTCGATGGTCTTATTTTAGTAGAAAGGGGGACTTTTCATTTTTTTTTCAATGCGCTGGAAAAAAAATCAAGTTTGTTGGATCTTAGAAAACATGATAGTTAATAACTAAATGCTTTTTGAATGAAGTGATTTATTTTTATAAGAAATGTTCCATCTATTGAATGGCAGTCTTATGAAGAATTTTATTCCTTTTTGTTTGTTTCTATCACTCATGATAATCTATCAGCCGATAAACGGCTAGCTTTGTCGGTCAATAAGCAACCAGCCGTTTGCTTGTGTATCGATTTAGTCTTGTTATTTATTTGCACCTGAAAATAGGAGTTTTTCAATGCTGGATTAATCGAATCAACTATACGCGTACCAGTAAAGTTTATTGTCTTAGTTTTAATTTCATCAACGCTTTGTGTCATTGCCACATCTTTATTCCAGATATGGATATACTGCGAGAAACAATTCTCAGAAACAAAAAACACTTTTGTAATCTCTATATAATAAGTTTTGTTTTTTGCATGTTATAGAAGTTTCATGTAATTTCTATAAGGTTTTTTGATACTCATAGAATCTGCCTCGTGAAGTTTTGTGAAGTCTGGCAAAGTCTTGTGAAGTCTTATGAAGTCTTATAAAGTCTCAAGAAGTCCTACAAAGTCTGTAAAGTCTCAAGAAGTCCTACTAAGTCTGTAAAGTCTCACAAAATCCGTGAAGTCTCATGAAGTCCGTGAAGTCTCACGAAGTCTGTGAAGTCTCACGAAGTCTTTTGAAGTCCTCTGAAGTCTCATGAAATCCTATGAAGCCTTGTGAATTCCTTTGAAGTCCTATCAAGTCTTAAGAAGTCTTATGAAGTCTTTTGAATTCTTGTGAAAATATGAAGTCACTATGGTTGAAGCCTGTTGAAGTCTTGAAGTCCGCTGTTTCCCCCTTGGGCTGTGATTGTAACTGTGACTGTGTAGGTGTGGCTGTGAGTGTTGTTGAGGACAAGACCAACATCCACCGCCACAGCCACACACCCACACCCACATCCAAACAACTTCTGCAATTGTTTTGATATTCATAGGAAGCTAAAAGAAAGAATTGTTTTAATTTAAAATATGAAAATAAGATCTTCTCTTCATTATTCATTTGTCATGAGTGCATCGAAACTTTTGGTTTCAACCAAAAACAAACGTTCAAAACAGAATAACTCATTTAAATTTATAAATACTGAAAGTCTGATCAGATTTGAGTCGAACTTAGGCATATGCTGGAATTTTCAATCTCGGTATATGTGTTTAGTCAAGTTTTATTGCAAAAAGTCTAATCGATTGTGATTTTTCGAGTTCTAATAACATATATTTATTCTTGGATTGCATTATTTATCAATAAGAGTTGCAAACTCATCCGATTCGTTCTGTGCTGAAAAAAAGAATATTCCTGTCTTTCGGTATGAGGTGACATCTAATGGCAGATTCACTAGCCTGATATCTTCCCTACTATTAATACTAGCTGTAGCTGTGAACAGAAGACCAACCTGACGCAGAGGTCTTGCGCTCCTTTTACACATTAATAACTTGTCTAGGATTGTTTCATGGCTAGTGATACAGAGTTTTGAAGAGAGTCCCTTAAGGATACGTGTCAAACGATGTATTCATTCAACTATGACAATTCTTCTATGATGGAATAGTAACTTTACCATGTGAGTTGCACTATACTATGAAAAAGCTGTTAGCACAAACCCGACGCGATTAAAATGTGAAACACGATAGAGCTGTTGATATTGTAAAAGTGAAGATTAATCAATATATGTTTAGGCTTATCAATTCCTACTTACTGTGAATGTATGTCAATGATGAAAGATATTAATCGAAATATATTGCAGTTGAAGGTGAAAGAAAGGTAAAAGATAACTATCATACTAATCCCTCATGAACTTTATCTGTTACGTCTATGGCAAATTTCTATCTCTATACTTCAACATTTCATTTAGATCGTGTTTGATAAAACTGTGTATCTAACTGTATGGTTAATTTCTTATAGTGAATATATAGAAAAACTTTACTATGTTATCTTGAAATTTCTTTACTGATTACTTTCGATTATTAGTTGAAATAGTAGTAGACGGTAATTTTTCATTTGTTGATTTGCCATTATCATCTGATGAACTACTACATTTTTTTGATGATTTACGAATATTTATTTTTGATAATAAATCTTTAATAGTATTATTATTTATTGTTTTATCTTCATTAGAATTATGATAAAATAAAGAAGAAATATATTCATTTAAACTTGTTTGACGTTGACGATTAATATTAAGAATTTGTTGTTTTTGATATTTAAGAAATCATATTGATGATAAACCTTGTAGTGGAATTGGTGCTTCATTCAGCGACTGAAAATGTTTCGCGCGTTTGTTTAGCTTTAACATCAGATGGGTTCGATGGAACAGCTAAAGAATCATGACAATGATAATGATGAGTTGTTGATTGAGATGTCGTATTTATTATTGATGATGATAATAAATGATGAAGTGATTTCGAATATTTCTTTTCTTTATTGCTTTCACTAGTTGGTCGTTTTAATATTGAAGTTTTAGTAGATGATATATTATTATTATTAATTTTTATTTTTTGGTGATAAATCTTTACTTGATAATGATGAAAGTGAAGAAGATGATGATGCTTTAATAGAAATTGTTGGTATTGAATCAATTATATAGAAACTAGCATTATTTCTTGTTGCTTTAGTAATTTCACTATACTAGAATAAGTGTAAATTGTGACTTTCTAATTAAATTTGAAATTCAAAAGATTTATTTTTTATTACTTTAGATATACCTAAACATGTCGTAAAAAAATCAGTGAGGGGTGCGGCGAGTGATCGAAACTTGAAATAGGTATTTTTTTTCTCATTCTGTTTGATATTCGAACCCATCGAAAATGGAGTCCTCGGAATCATCCTCCTATCGCACATTGATGTTCGACTGCTTCGATAGATTTCGACCACTCGAAGGCCATCGAATTACCGAGTAGTCGAAATGATAAAGTCTATCAAAGAGCTACTTCCGATAATTGGATGTGATTTCGATCTCTTGAAGCTAATTGAAGTTGCCATTGTTCTATGAGAAAAACCTAGCAACAAAAGAACTGTTACTATGCAATTTAATTTTGATCAATAGAAACTTCTTTAAAATTCTTTTTTCAGCGATTCTATACTTTCGATTTATTACTTCATCCAATCAATTATTTTCTATTGTAGAGGTATCCATGAGTTCATGGTTTTTAGAACAATATTTAATATCCATCGATAAAAAAATAATATGAATATATATGCTTTTCGTATTAAAAAATAATCATTATGAAGTACCAATAGTTAATCGCATTGCAAATTCTGAGCTCTTGACATCACATTGACATTCAAGGTCTAAGCAGCAAAGAGCTCATCAATGAGACAGTTTATGAAAAAATCGATCGTTGTTCGATTAGTTGTTACTATGTAAATATTTAAATGTTTTATTGAACAGAAGTTCATTGTGAAAAAGTTTGAAGCTGTCGAGTTTGTTCAATCTGTTTTTTAAAGTTTATTGTAGAAATTATACTGCATTTTAATGTGCTTTTTTGAAATTTTTCAAACGAATTTTTATTAGATTTAATTTTTTCTATAATCATCCGACAGTATTAAGATTAATAGATAATATTTCTATAGGTGAGTCCTTAGAAGAGGAAAGATTAGTTCAAAATTTCTCTTTATTTTATTGCAGCATTAATTTCCATTCAGATATTAGAAAGTTTCAAATATTTTGAAACATTAAAATAGGAACAACAGATTATATTGCTCGTTAAGTATAGAAGCCATGCTGTTATAATTGTAAAATCTTTTGGATGTCTGACTCAAAAATCATCATCTCATATTTTGCACAGACATTCTTACAGTTTTTTCAATGATCAAGAATATTGAACTAATCAAATATTGAAATTCTAAAGAGAGAAATTGTGTAAACTTGATCATAATTTTTTTCGCACTTTTTTAACAATTTTATCACGAAAAATCTAATGAATGCAAGTGTACTGTATATTTTCTCACACAATTGATATTTAACACAACGAAATTTAATATAGTTAGGATTATTTTCTGCATCAACAACAGTAACAATATTCCTTTTAAGTTTTCAAAAAAAAAATTACTCGAAAACATATATGAAAAATCTTATTAATATTTAATGTATAATCAGAAAATATAAGTTTGCTTAGTTTGAGTGTCATGTTTAATTCATCTGATTGTACAAGCATCGTAATCGTAAGTATATATGTTCGAATCTACTGCTCTGCAAAAATATCCGATAGGTGTTGAGTACTTGGAAATAAGTGGTTTCAAAATGCGGAAAGCAAACTTTTTTTAAAAATTTACCAAGTTTTGAGGGTCGAAATTTCAGCTTCTCGGAACAGTACACAACATCGACCACTCGCGGATCTACGACTCTTATCAATTTGCAGCCATCGGAAAAGCTCTTCGATGGGCATCGGAATTCATATCTCGAGTCCTCGAAATGGAATATTATTAGTTGTAAAATAATTGTAGAAGCAATCCATTGCCGAGTGCTCGACCTAACGAAAAGTAGCACTTTGTGGGCTCGATTTGGAGCTCCGATACCCATCGGCCGAATTAAATCGACGATTCGAAAAGCCCATCGGATGGCTAATTGGGTATATTTCATTATATACATTGATTCACTTTTTGTTGCTAAAAGTACTTGATGTTAAAGCCAAATAGCTTTTTCACGACATGTTATTTTACTAAAACAAAAAACAAATCAAACAGGTGTTAGAGTTAGATTTGAAGAGTATAATAATTATATTGTGTAATTCGGTGTGTTTCACGATCAGCAAAATAATTTTTCAATATTATCAATTAATGCTTCTTTTTAATTACGACGAACATGTTCACGAAGTGAAACAGTAATATTAGAAATTTTTCGATTATTTAGATCAGGGTGTGGATAGATTGATATTGGTATCCAATTGAGTTTTGATAGTTGTGGATCTTGTCTGCGCTCGTACCCACACCTCCACCTACAACCAATCGGATCTTCATTTATCTCTAATTGAAAATTGTATTGAATTAGTTCGGGTTGTACGCCAATATACATGAGCAAATGATAAGCATTATCGGTGATTGCTGTTCGATCGAACAAATAACATTCGACAATACAAACTTGCTGATAGAAGAAACAGGTCAACTCGATATGTTCTTTATATAATTCACATAGATAATGTTCCCACTCAACTTGTAATTTTTCAACTGTCTGTTCAAATTCAGTCAATTCATTGTATTTACCTTTGATAGGTGTAAGCATTGTTTAGTTCTAGAAAATATTGAATATATGAATAGCCAATCATATTGAGTAGTGTCAAATGTTTGATTATGTTTTCAATATATTAACAATGGAAACGAATAAATGGGTCATTTCAATATCTTGTTGTATATCATTTTGCATTTTAATTCTATTAGAATTTTCACTCAGTCGTGTACGATAACGAATAATACTGAAATCATTGAAATTCACTGTAATATCATAATAATAATTGAATTCGAGAAGTTCTTTAAGTCTTTCTTGACTATAACTTACAAAAGTAAACGATATATTTTCCATAATGTCTAAAATTTGTCGTCGTTTTGAAAATCTTCTGTTTGTCAAATTCGTATAAATAAATTATGTTTGATGCTAGATAATCATGTGAGAGAAAATTCGAAACATTCAATTATTGATTTAAAATCTTCAATCTTATTCAATACAAGAGATGATAATGATTGTTGATCAATCATTTTAATTTTATCATTATCTTTATCTAGAAATGTTTTCAATATGACTAAATCAAGACTGCTTTTGTGTTGATTAATCTTTCATCCCAATTAATTAACAGCTTCACAGAGATTGTCAACATCAGAATCGGAAAGAGAATAAAGAATTTTTTTTAAGCTCAAATGACGAATCATAGTAAGTGAGTAGTTTGTGCATTTCTGCTGAGTAACGGTTATAAATATGTTGACAAAAATTTTGATAGATCATTAAGAAAATCTTTTCATTGATGTTTTCATTAATTTGCAACATATCCGTAAGCATAATTTTAAAATCATCAAGTTCATTTTTAAAGAAATCAAATAATTTTATGCATCCTTGACAAATATGATTAAAATAACTTCAATTTCTGCTATAGTCGAATAATATTGTGAAAAATTCACTAATATCAAGATTAAGTTTGTGTTTTAGAACGTTCAAATCACTATGCATATTAGAAAATAGTTTTATTAATTGTGAGATTGGTTGAATTGCCCAAGTCGAGCAATTGTGTATCAGTTCTTTGATAAATACATGAAATAGTTTTGCTTTTTTTTTGCAAGATTGAGGAACAGGCATTTGGATTAGATGATGGATTCTCTGTAGAACAAACTGTGTAAGTAATTAATTGCAACCACACTGAAATGATAGAATAATAAAACCATTAACTGAAGCACGATGAGAATTGGCAAACTTATCTATCGTTGAGTTTCGATACTCTATAGGAAAATTTTGCTAAAGTTGACATTTTAAATATGGAATAAATTGTTCAGCGTATTTGGCAACTGCTGCAACTTCTGATAGAATTTCAACAGAACATACAATGTCTTTCACAAGCTTGTTTTTTTATGTTCCGTACATGATTAACAAAAGTTTCTTTATTATTTGCATTTTGACAACACTCATTAACATACGATAGAATCATGTGACAAATATTTTTCCTTATATTTATTTCCTTATTAGCTTTCTCGAGCATTATTTCAAATGAGTGTTGTCTTTGTTTTATCACTTGGATAGTGTTCTACATATGATTGGCTATTTTTCGTCGGTCACTATTTTGCTTTTGCCAAACAAAGATACTATCGGCACATGATCCCTGGTTTTTGCGAGATGTTCATATAGTGTCCATTTATTGAATAACTTTTTCATAAATAGGTAATGTTCGAGAGCAATCATCAAATAAAACAGAGTAAATAAAAGATGATTTCATAGGAAGTGCGAATATATCGTCAAATACTTTTTTAATAAAAACATATTTTTCCGATGTTAGTTTAATCAAGTCGTGAATAAGTTGGTTTTTGTTGCTGTTGTTTTTGTTACTAATTTCAGTTAATTTGTGCCATGGATTATGAAGCAAGTTTATACGTTTCAACTCTTCAAGGTTTAAATTGTTGAATATTGTTTCCATATATTTGACTTTGAATTGATCGATAAAGACTTTATTTTTTGCAAATATAAGTACAGATTCCATATATATGAAAAGGTGAGTCCAAATAGTAAAGAATATAATAATATTATTAACCGTCATATATGAAATGTTGTAAACGATATCACAAGCATATTAAACTAACTGAGTACAGTTTATAGTTCCGACATTATCAGTTGGATTAATCATACATGTTAATTTTTCATATTCGCTTCTTACCCACACGACTATTCTTGGAACTGTTTTGTTTTTCAATTCAGTTTCTTTGTGAAAAAGCTGATTTTTGCGCCATTAGATTGCCATGATGACCTGTGACAAAAGGATATCAGCATCCTTGACAACAACGCTTTGGTTTACAAATTAAAGGACATGAGTACGAGTGTCACTTTTGTCTTCTTTCATACCCCACATCAACAACCACATGCATCATCCTAAACTTACGCCGACACAGCCACTCCAACACGCTTATAATTATCAAATTTTGACCATTAAAAAATAGAAGTATTCAATGTAAATAATGCCAGACATATTCCTATGGGAAAATGGTCAAAATATTCATGTTTCATACGCTAACACGGTTATCAATTATCACTCCAATCGTTAGGGTAAAAATGATATACAATAACATATCAAATTTAGAGTTTTGATTGATAAACACACTTGCTAGAGAAAATGGTCGAGAAAATTCTCACAAAACTAACTTTTCAAACATTTACTGATCCAAATATATTCGATTAAAAAAAAGAATTGTACGAGTTCACGTTTAAAACTTAGACTTCCTGATGTCTACACGACCATTTTTCTTCAAACACGGTTAGACAATTGAAAAAGAACGATTTCGAGTGTTTAAACGCGTTCTTACAAAATCTTGTCTGCTTGGGTAGTTACATGCATTATTTGCCAGATGCGTCTTTGTTGGTATGCTGTCCAGCAAAAATTTAACTTTTTCGCCTATAAAAGCAATAACGTGTAACTAGAAAACTTTGTGGAGTTTGCGTCTTCGCTCATGTTTTTCTATTTTCTTCAACACATTTGATTCTACATGTGTATATTTTATTGTCTAAACGGGTACTTTGAGCTCAACGTTATTCACAGGCATATTGCGGTTTATCGTTGTTTTCACATATTATCCGAAATAACCGTAAAATTATATTATGATGATTTCATAAGATTATCATAATGAAAATAAAATAAAAGAATTATGACTATTATATGCTTCAGCTAGTTTGCCATTCAAATCACACCAACTTCGCAAAAAACAAATTTATGTTTGAACATAGCAAAAAACATACATTATTGCATATATAAGTTTTATTTAAAAAAACGAGAACTGAAAAGTCTCTTCGATAATACCAGGTAGAAGAAAAAACTTCTTCATTTTTACCCATAAGAATTATTAAATTAGTTTAATATGCTGTTCATCGTTTCTGGTGAATACAATATACGAATCATCTCTCACTTCCTCTAGACCAACGTAAGAATAGTATCGAATAGCCCCAACCGAATCCGAATTGAAAAACTGTCGTTGATTGATTTCATTGAATAAGTTAAAATAACGAAAAAATTATTACATGTGTGATATATTTTCACAATAACTGATTTTAAACTACCAAATAGTACAGGAATAAATATTCCATATACTAAACACTACAATAAGCAAAAAAAAACGATAAAAATTTTCCTTTTTCTCATAAATGATTTTACAGGAATGATCGTGAGTTTCATTTAATCTTCGATCATAAAAAACTAACAAAAATTCACCAAGTAAATTTAGATTTGTCTTCATTTCTTTCTCAAACCATAGCAAACCACATGCAACCTATCAAAGACAAACTTTGCAATCCATGATGAAACTAATCATAAATAGATTAACCACTATTCTGAAGTAAAGTGCGCTCGTAATTAAAACTTCAATAACTGAATAATTGTCCGCAATCAAATGCATTTCGATCAATATATTCCATACTATCTACCACTTCTGTCCTGAGTGCAGCACAAGACAAACATTTTAAAAAGTACTGTATCAGTTCATTGCTTATCTTCTCATGGAAAATATCTATCTAAGACAACACGCTCCTATGAATAACCGTCACCAAGTCACAACGCCTCATATAAAAACGAAAGACACATAATTCAAAAACCCAAAGAAGACCAAAAAAAACGAATCAATCGATATTCATCGCTTTTCGAACAATGCTTTTCAGCAACTAACCTTGAAATTTCTCACGAAAAAATACTTACAACTCTCCCAAAAAGAAATCTTCTATTCGCAGCAAAGTTACACATCACAACCTATTCATTCACATACTGAGCTTCCATTTTGCAATCACCATAATCAATTCTCAAACTCACAAATTCCAATATCTAAACTCACCTAAAACATTAACATTCTACATGCCACCTGCGATAAAGCGTTGACTCTCATTCTCTCTTCATCTCTCTCATATACACATCTGCACTTTTTCACGCAGACACTCACCACACTAAATCTCCAATTCAATCAAATCGGACCTCTCGGAGCACAACATCTGGCTGATGCATTAC